TTTTGCATTCTTCATGAACAATATTCTTGATATCTTCCCACGGCTCATCTGGTCTTTGTTCATTAGTGTTCAAGCCCTCAAACCTATTCTTGAGTTGGTTTTTAAATTCAGGGAGGATAGACCAAATTTTGATTCCTGTGGATATGATTTAACCTTCTTTAGCTTTAATTTGAACTTGCAGATGAATAGTTGATCTTCTGTGCCACAATCAGCACATGGCCTGGTTTTTACTGCTGACAATGAACTTCTCTAATGGTTCTTTCCACAGATGTAATCGATCTGATTCCTGTGCATCCTATCCAGTGAAATCCAGGTGCATAGCCTATGTTTATGTTTCTTATAAAAAGTATTTGCTATGAATAAGTAAATTACTGATTGTGCAGAATTTTATCCTTCTATCCCCAGCTTAATTTTTGTCATGAAGTCCATATTTTCATACTACTGATCCTTCTTCATGACTCCCAACTTTTTCATTCCAGTCACCCATTATTATTTATGCATCTTGGTTACATGATTTCTTACTACAACAGTGGGTAAAAATGAGGGAGAGAGAGAGAGAGAGAGAGAGAGAGAGAGAGAAGAATTTCATGGAACACGATCAGGAGATAATGGTAACGAAGTGCAGGCTGCTCTGAAGAACCTGGCAAAAAATAAGGCCCCAGAAACTGGTGTAATACTAATTGACATATTACAATGAACAGGTACTGCCCTGGACATGCTCACGAGGTTGTGGTGGGAAATCTGGAGGACAATTACCTGGAAGAGTTCCATATTTATTCTCATTCCAAAACAAGTTGACCCAACAGAGTGTGGAAATTATCAAACAATATCCCTAATATCACACACAAGCAAAATCCTGCTGAAGGTTATACAAAAATGACTGGAACAGTATAGTGACATAGAACCACAAGAAGTACAATTCGGGTTTAGGAAAAATCGTGGCCGTAGAGACATTATTGTCAATGTCAGATGGATCCTGACAGAAAGCAGAGAGTACCAGAGGAATGTCTATCTGTGTTGCATTGACTATGCAAAGACTGTGTGGATTACAACAAAATGTGGTTAACCTTGAAGAAAATGGCAATCCCAAAACACTTGATTGTGCTCATGTAAAACCTACACTCAGACCAGGAAGCAGTCCTCAGAACAAAGCAAGGTAATATTGCATGGTTTAATATCAGGAAAGGAGTGCATCAGAGATGCATCTTGTCTCCATACCTTTTCAATTTATATGAAAAACAGATTATTTGGGAAGCTGGGTTTTATGAGGAGGAATTGGAGAATTGGAGGAAGATTCATCAGCAATTTATGTTACGCCGATGGCACGACTTTGTTGCTGAAACAAGAAGACCTGAAGCACTTGCTGCAGAAGATCAAGGGCTGTAGTCTTCAATATGGATTGGAGCTCAGCATCAAGAAGACAAAGATTCTTACCACGGGGCCAATTATCAGCACCATGATAGATGGAGAAAAGATTGAATTTGTTAAGAATTACAGCTTGCTTAACTCTCTTGGCACCAGCAGTCAGGAAATCAAAAGACAAATTTCACTGGGAAAATCTGCTGTCAGGGACCTCTCCAGCGTACTGAGAAGCAATGATGTCACTCTAGAGACTAAGGTGCGCTTGATCCAGGCCATGGTCTTTGCAATTACTTGCTACCCATCAGAGATTTGGACAATGATTAAGGATGACAGAAGAATAGATGCCTTTGAGTTGTGATGTCCAATAGTCTTGAACATACCATGGACTGCCATTGGACTGTATTGGAGAGGGTGAAACCAACTTTCTCCTTGGAGGCTAGGATTTTGAAGTTCTGTCTCCCATACTTTGGTCAGGTGGCCAGAAGGGACAAGTCCTTGGAGAAGTACATCATGCTTAGAAAGGTGGAGGGATGGCACAGGAGGGGATGACCCAGAAGGGATGGATTGATAGTTACTTGACTACTGATGTTAGAAGTGTCAGAGTCAGTAAGACTGGTTCAGAATAGGGCTGGCTTCAAAGTTGTTGTACATAGCGTCGCTATGAGTTACAGGCAATTCAATGGCAAATAACAACATTATCTATCTATCTATCTATCTATCTATCTATCTATCTATCTATTATCTATCTATCTATCTATCTATCTATCTATCTATCTATCATCTAAAACTATTTAAAAGGGAAAGGGGACAAAGGCTGTTGAAAAAGAAAGAGGAAACTGCCAGGACAGCAGATATTAATGGAGACATGGGAGGGGGTGTGAAGGAGCAGATAAGGTGCAATAGGGACTTGAGGAGATGTAAAGATAAAATAGATCAATACTAATTAATGATATAAAATTGTACAGAAATGATTGTATAAAACATAATGCATTAAAATGATTGTATAAAAATGAATGATATTTTAAGTTAATAAAAAATAAAAAATAGAGGGTCCTAGATTGAATCAGAGATAAATTTGAAACAAAACTTAAAAAAAGATAAAACTGTCTGACTGACATTGGTGGAAGACCTAAGATTATGGCTCTGAGCCTGGAACTGATCTCACTCCTGTGACACAACTATAAGGCGAAAGTATCCTGAGGTAGGTACTCAGTCATTAGAGCAATCAACCATGAAAGATCAAAAGGAAAAAATTTACTTATGTTAAAAACTCAAAAGACAGGATAGGAAAAGATAGAAGGATAAATAAGAAGCACAGGGAGGTAGGAAGAAGACTGCTCATACAATGTAGGGATTGTGATCAATATTGTAAAACAAAATATATATGAATGGTTGAACAGCATAAAATCTACTCTGCAAAGTTTCATTCAAATCACAATTGAAAAACAAATTACGTAGGAAAATGTCTTGAAATCTGCATTTACATACATTTCTTTAATTATTACGTTAACATATAAAGAATTACTTAAAAAGAAAATTACCAGATCTGTACATTATAATCTATCAGCTTTAAATTAACACAAAATATTGTATTATTTATACCTGGTATGGCTCAATTATCTTTCTATCAGGTTTCCCATAGTATTGTAGTTTTGATTTATGCAAGATTCTTACAAGCAGGGCAGGAAAAGTCTTTCTGTTAGACCAGGTCATTTCAAGGTGAGAAAGAGAAATTATTTTGGTGGCTAAAAAATATTTTTAAAAAAAGGAAAAAAGAAAGAAAGTCTTAGTTAAGACAGCATGGTAAACTGAAATATCTATTTAAATTATTAAAAATACAGCAGGCAGATTATTTTCAAAGCAATTCTTTTTTATCAAAAAAGCCATAATACACAATTCTGGATGTCTATACACATTGTCCCATGTAGAATGCCCTCCATCTTGCCAAACTCTAGAATTACTTCCCAAAAGACTTAGATCTAAAGTTACCTCACTTTAAGCAATTTTATGGAGACTTATAAGGGAAACAATGTCACAGAATAGTTTCCTCTTATTAATCACTTGCATATTCAATTTAGAGATTTGATTTATGACACATTTATTTTTTTATTTTTTATTGATATTAACAACAACAACATTGATATTTTAACAAGAGTTTACAGAAAACTTGGATCTCTATTCATTCATTGTTGCACATTTTCCTGCCTACCTAGACCCCCACAGTTAGTTTTTCTCTTTAAAAAGATTCTTTCTTTGTTGTACAATTTCATCCCTCTCCATTTTGCTATGCACCTCTTATTCTGGATTGTTGTCATGCAAATAATACCTAAACGTATATTTATTTTAGACAGTTCTTTCCCTCATCAATTTAAATGCAATGTTCATTATTTATCCCTCTTTTCTAAATTTTCCCCCAACCCCCATGTCAGTCCTGTTTATAACAGTGGCATTATTCAGTATTTGTCCCTGTGTGACTGAGATATTTCACTCCGCATAATGTCCTCCAGGGTCACCCATTTTGTATACTATTTTATGAGTTCCTTGTTTTTCACTGTGGCATAGTATTCCATTGTGTGATTATACCAGAGCTTCCCTATCCGTTCATTCGTTGATGGGCACTTGGGTTGCTTCCATCTTGTTGCTATTGTGAACAATGCCACAATAAACATAGGTGTGCATTGGGTGGCAGTTCTGGTTTCTTTATGACACATTTCTTGATTGTTCTTCACTAGTGTAATATATGTGAGTTTCATCTCTTCTAAACAAACCAGACATGCTCTTGAATGAGACATGCTCCAATCTGCCTGGAAAATCTCCTTACATATCTCAGTGAAGAGAATTTTCCTCTCCTTCAGATTTTGCTCAGAGGTCACTGTTTCAGTGATGCTATGCTTAGCCATCCTATTGGAAAGCTGACCCCTTCACTTATCCCCTGTTCCACTTTCTTTTTCTACATAACACTTCTAATGCATCTCATAATTTACTTTGAAATCCTTTAATCTTTAAGCCTGATGGCAAGCACAAAATCTACTTGATAGCTATGCACTATTTTAAAAATGTTTAACTTATATTTCCATTTTTATTCTCCCTATGGTTCAGAAGAATAACCTCCACATTGTGTTTTCTCATAGCTCACAGTCTCAACTTTTAAGATCTGAATTTGCACTAGTTTTTATATTTATTTTGTTAGGGCATCCTCCATTTCAAGTTACAAAAGGACAAATACTGCAAAACACCATTACTATATAAACAGAAGGATAACTAGTAAAATGCATATGGATATCCAAAGAAGGAAGGAGAGGAAATGGGAGGGCTGAGAGTGGAGAAGAGAAGAAATCACTGAGTCACAGAGTTTGGTGGGTGGAGGGAGTGAGGGAGTGACTGAGGAATCAGGAAAGTTCTAGTAAAGATCTGAGAAGACCAGGTAATACAGGTTATAGATCAATTGTTAATTTTATAAGACACAATCTGAGAAATCGTGAAATACTGTACAACACGAATGAATTGAAAGCAAATTCTACTGAATGACGTATTTCAGTCAAAAAAGACAATTATAGTATAAGGCCACTATTATAAAAAGCTAAGGAAACGTTTACATACAGATATAATCAATCTTGGCAGTTAACAGGGATGGGAAATCAGGGGAAAGGTAGTAAATTTTAAAAAACTGACAAAGCAAACAAAAAACAAAAAAAACAAACCTGACAAAGCTGGGTGAAGGAAAAGGCAATACACAATGAGGCTTGATGAAACATTATAATTAATTGATTTAATTAATCAGTGATAATTAATGTTATAAAACAAAATGTCTATGAATGTATGAAAAGCCAATATGGCTTGTAAGTCTCCACTCAAATAATTAAAAAAAAATCTAAAGCATGATGTAGTCAACAAAATTTTAGCATTAAAACCAGACTTGTACAGAGAAACCTGTAAGAGCTGAAACTTGTGAAACTACCTTATTTTTCCAAGTTGTGAAACTTTTCTCACCTTTGACAGGATGCAGTCTTAACTACTTCACTACTGTTTTCTATTAATATTTGAGCTTTGATCTTCTGACAGTTTTCCATTTTACACAGGTGCTGGCTTTCACCAGTTTTACTACAATTTCTTTTTAATAAGAGTTTAAATAGTGTTTTATAATTACTAATGTACCCCAAATCCACATCATTTTCAGTATTACTAAGATTCCTTGTGTAAGTATCCTTCCAAATTATCCCAATAGATTACAAACTCAGGATCACAATTCCTAATATTTCATCTGATGTATTGATTTCCTTTTGAATAAAGTAAAACAAATAATGGGTGTAACAGTAGAACTGAAGAAAGATCTAGAAATCTATTACACTTGCTGAGGAGGTTGGATATAAAACCCTATGAAAAAGCTAAAGTTTAGATTTCTTACTGTATTCCTCACAATATAAAGGTCAAGTAAATTAAAGAGTTAAACAATTAAAATATTAGAATAAAATAAATACACAAATATATGTAATAATCTTTGGTTAGAGCTGGCATTTCTAATCATAACGCTCAAAGTATAAGTCAACTGATCTGACCAAACAAATACTAAGTCTCAGAATCACAAAACCATCATAAATAAGGAGGAAAGGGGTTGAATCTGAGAAATGACTTATTCTCATATTGGTACTATATAGCAAATTAGGATGAATTAATACCTATAACCAATGAAATCTTCTAATTTGGGAAAAAACAAATATAATTTTAAAATAATCCAAGATATAAACAAGTTATTCAGAAAAATACCTGCAAGTGGCCAATAAATATATTAAAGGATGCTCACCCTCATAAGTAATCAGAGAAATAAACAATAAAATGCCATTTTTAACATTGAAATAAGTGTAAATTTAAAAAGTGATGACATTTAGATTTTAAAATAATAGAGGAAAATGGTCATTCATATATATATGTTCATTGGATAATAAATTAGTACAATATTTTTAGAACATTTGAATCCGTTTATTCTTTTAAAAAATTAAAACACCCTTCAACCCAGTAATTTCACTTCTAGAAATTCACCCAACATTCATTTAACAAAAATACTTAATGAACAAAATAAATGTACAACTTAATGTTGTTCAGCATTATTAAAATAGTGATAAAATATAGCAATTGCTTAAAATGTCACACTACTCATTCACAAGGGATAAATTATGGTATATCCCATTGTGGGAATATAATAAATGCATATATATATATATATATATTGCGTAAAATATATGAAATGAAAATAGTAAATCCCACAACTCCATGTATGACTTTCCCCGCGGCCCCCCCTCAATAATACACAGCAAACTGATGACAGTTTGCAATTTTGAGATGAATGTTGGAGTCTGGAGCAAGTGAAATATGTCCTTTACTGGACTTCAACATTTTATAATTAAGAAATTAAAAAATACAGCAAATATGAAATAATTTTACAATGAGCACCAATATATCCAGTTTCTAGATTTTATTGTCAACTTATTACTATATTTGGGACTTACGTATTTTACACAATATGCCTTTAAACACATGGCTTGGGTTTTTTGTAGCAAACAGGCATGTTACCTTTTATAATAAAAATAGGGTTTCAATAAGTAAAACCACTTTTATAATCAGAACAAAGCCAAAATGTACTTTTTAAAAAAAATTGTTATGTGCCATCAAGTCACTTTCAAATCATAGCGACTCTTAAGTACAAGAGCTCTGAAACCTACTCTACCTTGAGCCAACCTCATTGTCTCTGACACACCTACCCCATTATCCCAGTAACTGAGTCAATTCATCTCATCCAGGGTTATTACCCTCTTAATTATTCTTCTACAGTCAAGTTTTCATCTGTTACAGTCAATTCTCAGGTGGTGAAAATGGTTTGTGATCGACTACTAACCTTAAGGCTCTAAAGGAAGGTCTGGCAAACTGCTTCTATAAAGATTCTAAAGTCAAATTTACTGCTGATTAGTCAGTTCAGACTCATAGGGACCCTTCCTTGGTTCCAGGGAACTTTAGGTTAGCAGCCAGATACATTATACACTATTCTATTTCAATGAAGATCAAAGCCATGAAAACCTTATGGAACTGTGTTACTTTGTAACACACGAGTAACGTGAGTTGGCCATGAGTCAGAGCCACTGGACAACAGACAATAACCATATTCAATTCTAAAATAAATCAAAATTAACAACACCATAGTAATAAGCACTATTACTTCCTTCCATGTTTGAGATAAAATAATTTCATTATTTCATGTCTGCAAGATTAGTGGACTTTTAAGACATAATGATTTCAATAATATTTTTCTTATAACTTGGTATAATTGCACATATTTCGACCCAGCTATCTTTTTCACTTTCAAGTTTGCTGCTGTAACACAGCATAGTGAGATTATTTCAGATTTAGCATTTTAACCTAAATTTTAGATAACTGAAAAACAATAATAAATGTAGAAAATTTTATCTTTTTTTCTTCCTCTCTCATTTTAATTTCCTTCCCATTGTCCTGATGTACATTTCTGGGGTACTAATATCCCTCATCCTCCAAATTCCATCTCTTAACAGGAAAAAAAAATTTAGACTTGTTGCTGATGACAAACTGACTTTTTCAGGCTAATTTCTTACTTCTACACAGAAAATGGAACTTTTCTGACCAGCACTATCACCAAGTAATAAACATTAAAATGATAATCCCATGCCTTCTCACCAATCCCCACATTCAGGTAATGATATTTACCTAATTTACACTCAACGACATAAATGCGACATTTCGGCTCCTGCGAATGATGGAGTAAATAACGAAACCTTTTTAAAAAGCAGGTTAAAACACGCAATACTGTAAATGCTTCCAACTTTTTTTTCTCATTTCAAAAATGTATACATTCTTCAGCCGCCAAAGACTGTACTATCACCGCAATTGGAAACAAAGGTTAAATTCGTTGTTGTTGACTGTAATACCACCGCGTGAAAAATCCTGGCCACCACATCAATATATTGGCTAGATTCAATTGAAGATGCATTTATTTACTGAATAGCCACTTCACAATCAAAATCAGACATTGACTACTGTAAATTTCATTATGATAACATCTGCTCCCTGGCACTCATAAAAATTTGGCTATTATCACTCCTGGCATGCTATTAAGAATGCCAAAGCGCCCTTCGCCACCACTCCCCTTTTCTATTAACATAAATCTCAGAAAACGATTACCATTCATTTTATTTCCTCTCTAGTTACTTACAGTTTAAATTGCACTCCTCAGCTTGTTTGTTGGTTAGCCAGATATCACCATAGGGATCTTCATTATTCCACAGTGCCAGGTAGTGAGTCTTTCCGCCCCTTAAGGGTCTCTCAGGTTTTTGCTCCTGAGCGCGATTTCGGAAGGGAGTTTCTAAAGAGATCGCATTCAGCGTCTCCCCACAGTGGACATTATCAATGCACAGGATCCCCTGACCTACCCTTTTTTCATTGTAAACACAGGAGACTCTGAAAATCCTCACTTCTTTTCCAACTTTCAGAATATTTTTATATACCAAAGGGTTCAGGCTGGGGTCCAGGAAGCACTTCTCCTGGTACACTCCATCTGAGATTGTCACATCATAGCAGTAAAGGGGAAACCTAGGCATCATGTCTCCTGGCTCTTCCTCTAACAGGTACCTCTGGACAGCCAGCACCACGACAGGCACCACGTCAGTAAGGTTTACCCACTGGCGAGGTGTGTCGATCACTTGCTCAAGAACCTTTTGGATCCAGGATTTGGGCCCCTTAGTAAAAACTCTTCGGATCACCCCTCCTGGGACCCCAACCTGGGACCCTCTCTCAGGGTTCCGGATGCGGTTCCACTGCTCTGACCCAGCATGTGAAGGGCCAGGCTGAGGCTGGTCTGATTCCCCCAACCCTGGGGATAAGTTGTGTGCCCTCTCCATTCCCCAGATCTACTTTCTGTTTCCCCAAAATCTACTCTCCTCTTCTCTAAACTGAGAGAGAATGAAAATGCGCGCTTCTGGGAGTTTAGTGCTCTGCTGATGAGGCTGTCAGATTAGGCTCCGCCCCTAAGCAGAACTGGAAAGACGCAGTGCGCGCGCAACGGCGTACCAGCCCCGCCCCTGGATCTCTAGGCTCAGACTCAGAAGTTCCGTTATTAGACATCACGTTCAGGTTCCCACTCAATGTTCTGGCCAAAACTCCAGCGGGAGAGACCACAGGGAGGGATAAGAGAAGGAAGTGGTCCTCACATTTCCCAAAGCTTAGCAAAAGGAGAGGGGGAGAGAGCCCTGATGACATGGAAAATATAAAGTGAGGTGTAGATAGCCATAGCTCAAGGGATTGAGTATTTGAATGAACAAAGGAAACTCCATTTGAGTTGTTTAACATACAGACATATGACCTTAAACATGCCAACATGCACCCCCCCCCCCTTTCTTTAACGTGGGGCTTTTTGAAAGAAGTCTCTGAATGAGATAAAATTGACCACAGCAACATGAGAGCAGATACAAAACTTTGGGGGAAAATGAGGTTACACAAATCATGAAGGAGCAATTTGGAAAAGAAATGGTGATGCAACTTGAAGAAGGAAATCTGTGTCACTGAACTGCACCTGCAGAAGGTGTTGAACAATGTATATTCTGCTGTGTATATTTTCAACAAAAAAAATTCATTATTTTATAAAGATTAAAAGGGCTCTCTGCTTGCAGGCGTTCAAACACAGTCACAATTTACAACTACTTACTTGTATGAATAAAGGGGCCCTGGTCATGTGGTGCTCTAATGTATTGGATTATTAAGAGAAAAGTTGAAGTTCGAATCCATCAGCTGTTCAGCAGATAAGCATGCTTCTACCATTAAAGATGCCTCTGAGTCCAGAGTGACTCACAGCTGACCCTCTCCTGGGTGTTCAGAAACTGTAAACTGCGCTGGAGATTATCCAGCTTTCTCCAGTGGAGTAGTCAGTGGATTTGAAACTCCTGTTTTAGAGTTGGCACTGCTTTACTCTCATGGCCGTCAACCTTGGAAACTTGAGGAGGGTCACCATGAATGGGAATTTGCTTGACGGCAGTGAGTATTTCTCAAGATCTGCATTCTATGTAGATAAAATACAGTTAAAAAATCAAACAGAA